CCATTCTACGATGAGAGGCGGTCAGAAAAGGTTCACTTTTTACCTGCGGTAAAGTAATTTTTTTTTAATTTATCAATCTTATTCGCTTTATTTTAATCCTAAAGGAAACTTATTAAAAATCAGTAGAAGAAAAAGTACGAACATTTCAATTCGATATAAATTACAATATACGCAAAATCGTAACCATAATAAATAGCAATAAATATTTAAACCCACTGTGAGTTAGAATTAAGTTCAACCCAAAAGTGCCCCCAACTAATTTTTCTTTTAATTCTTATTCTGTTATTAAAATTTATTAGATAATGCTGAAAACGAAAATCATCTGTGGAAGGAATTAAAAGAAAGCTCAATTTTTCTTAATTCTTTCTAGGTTTAATTGTTTTAACTTGATTTAAAACTAAACCATGGTTGCCACAAAAATTTAATTTTGTTTTTCCCTGATTTCCAGAGAGAATTTTGACATTTTCCCCTGATCCTAAAAAATATTCTGATTATTATTCCTTGGGAACTGAAATTTTCAAAAATATCAAATTTAATTCTTTTTGAAATTCAATAAATTAGAAAAATATTATTATAAAACATGAATAAGGCAATCACTCCGATTAATAATAATTAATTATTAAAGATTATCCAGTGATAAAATAAAATCTTTATTTTACATTTATTTATTTTTACCTCTTTATTTTATATAAAAATATTTTTACTCTAACTTCTTTGAAATTATTTCATCATTTAAATTCAATTAATATTTTCTAGAATTTTGAAATACAATTCTTCTTTAAATTAATTATTATAGTTAAAAGTACGAAAAATTTATAATTCCAAAGATTTGAATTTAAAACTTTTTCAAAAGTCAATTATTTCTAAAAATTCTAAAAGCTTTAATGCTTTTAATATTCAATTATTATCTATAAAATTTTAACTGAAATTCAATTTTTAAATAAATTTTTATTAGAAAATTCTACGAGAATTCAACTATATAAATACAAAACTAAATAATTTATTGAATAGTTGAATGTTTTTTAAAATTGAATTTTTATGAAGAATTTTATTAACACCTTTTTAAAATAATTAATTTATTTTAAGGAATTTAATTAAAATTTTACAAAAATTTATTAAATTATAGAATTTTATAACAATTTTTGAAAATAATTGAAAACTTTTAAACAATTTTATTAAAATTTTTCAAAATAATTGCATTTATGAGAAGAAATACTCTGCAAAGTATTTTATTACTTTTCAAAAGAATTGAATTCTCGTGATGATTTTGCTATTTAACAAAATAATAGAATTCTTTCAAAAAATTTGATTATTTTTGAGAATAATTAAATTCTTGACAAAAATTTTAAAGAAATTTTTTAAAATAATGAAATTCATTCAAAAAAATTTGATTATTTATGAAAATAATTGAATTCTTGCCAAAAATTTTATAGAAATTTTTTAAAATAATTAAATTCCTTCGAAAAATTTGATTATTTATGAAAATAATTGAATTCTTGCCAAAAATTTTATAGAAATTTTTTTAAATAATTGAATTCCTTCAAAAATTTGATTATTTATAAAAATAATTGAAATTTTGACAAAAATTTTATAAAAATTTTTTTAAATAATTGAATTCCTTCAAAAAATTTTATAGAAATTTTTTAAAATAATTGAATTCTTTCGAAAAATTTGATTATTTATGAAAAAAATCCAATTCTTGCCAAAAATTTTATAGAAATTTTTTTAAATACCTAATTGAATTCCTTCGAAAAATTTGATTATTTATGAAAATAATTGAATTCTTTTGCCGAATTACTGGAAAATTTTTGAAAACAATTGATTATCTTCGATGAATTAAAAGTTTTTTTATAAAAATATTTAAATTTTTGCAACGAATTTTATTATTTTATTGAATAATTGAATGTTTTTTAAAAATTGAATTCTTTTGTCAAGTTTTAATAAATTTTTTTGAGAATAATTGCATTTTTCCATAAAGTTACTTATTTAAAATTATATTAAAAATATTTAAAATTCTAGAATGAAATTAATTGAATACCTAAATAGAAATTTTATTATTTATGAAAATAATTAAATGTTTTCGTAGAATTGTATCAAATTTTTTTTTCAATATTTAAATTTTTTAATAAATTTTATAAAAATCGTAAATATTGAAAGTTATTGAATTGCGAAAAACTATTGAAACTAATTAAAATTTTGCAAAGAATTTTATTTGAATTTTTAAAAATAATTGAATTTTTGGCGAAAGATTATGCTATTTATAAAGATAATTGAATTCTTGTCGAGATATTCGTTAAAATTTTTTAAAATATTTGAATTTCTTCGAAGAATTTTATTACTTTTGAAAATAATTGAACTCTTGTCATAAATATTGTTATTTATGAAAATAATTGATTTTTACAAAGATTTTTTTTTGAATTCCTAAAAATAATTGAATTTTTGTGACGAATTTTGTTATTTATCAAGATAATTGCGTTAAAACTTTTAAAATATTTGAACAATATTTAAAAATCCATTGTGGTCAGAAATAGAAAAAAAAATTTTTCCAGTGCTTTTATTAAAAATTCCTGACTTTTCCCTAATTTCCCTGACTTGTGGCAACCCTGGTGTAATATCAATTTTTAAAACTTATAAAAACAATCAAAATCAATTTTTTTTGGCTTTTAAGAGAAACATGTTTTCTTGAAGCAAAATTTGATAAATACTGTTTGCAGTGAATGTACAAACATTTCAAACAAAGAATTTTCATCATGAGATAGTTTTATGTCAAGTTAAAATAATTAACCTACAAAAAATTAAGAATTTAGTTTTCTTTTAATTCCTTTCATAAATGATTTTCGTTTTCAGCGTAAACTTATCAATTTTAATTTAACAGAATAAGAATTAGAAGAAAAATTATTTGGGGGAGCACTTTTGGGTTAAATTTAATTCAAGCTCACCGTGTAACCAAGTTACAGTATGGCTTTTAACTTTTTTTGTTTACGTAAACTTATAACATAATAAATACTTTATTTTCTTTTTTTTCAAATATGTAACTATTATTACAGAGTGATGACAGTTTACTTTACAGAGATTTCGAGATTGAAATTTAATAGGCGACTTGAGCAATTCGATTTTTTATGAATTCTTTTGTTTATTTTGCAGGGACCGATATAAGTTTGCAATTTAAGAATTTTCATTTGTAATACAGAGCCAAAGACACTACTTGTCAACGAAACGAATAAATTTGTTGACTTGCCTATCGTCTGAGCAGTCAAGTGAAACTGCATTCAAGCGTAATTTAAAGATAAAAGACACAGGTCGCGGTTATATATATTCTATCTTATATTGAGTATTTTTTTACGATTCAAAGCTTTCTGTATGCAAATTAAATTCTCTATTTCCGTCTGCAATTGGAATTAAAGATGTATTCATGCGATATAAACCTAACGTGAAACGGGAAACGAATGATGAGAATATGGTTTTCATGCGCTTAATTCAATTCATTTTTTTTATGCGGAATCAAATCAAAACGAAATTCAAATTCCTCTGAAATTTTAATCATCGGTAATTCAGAAATTAATTTATCTCATGTGATAATTTTATAGTTGGAAATATTCTATTGGATTTATTAGTATAATCTATTCTAGCAATAAAATTATATTTTACTATTTTTATTCAGTTTATCGAAATTGAAAATTCTAACTTTTAGTTTAGAAATTATAATAATAATAATAATAATAATAATAATAATAATAATAATAATAATAATAATAATAATAATAATAATAATAAAAATACTGAAGAAAAAATTTAAGATGATAAAATCAAAGTGAATGAAATGCGTTCCATTTGCATCAAGAAGATAAAATGAGGCGATTTTTTGAAATAAAAAAAAAATAGAGAACAAGAAAGTGTGCTTTGCTGGATGAGGCTATAAGAAAAAGAGGTCAACGATCATGAAATAGGAACGCGATGTCGTCCACTTCTTTAAAGAATCACGATTCTTGGGGGACGACTTGAAAACTCTCTGACAAGTGATTCTCGAATAATAATTCCAATCAATTATTTAACTCTATATATAGTTGTCAAAAGAACTTTTATGAAACTTTTTATTTCAATTATTATTTTTACGAGTCTGTTCCAAATTACTTTTAGAATTTTTCCATTCGCTATCGTCTCTCATTTTATAAAACGACAAATTTCTTTCTCCTTTTTTTTGGGGGGGAAGTTCATTGAAATTTTAGTAAGAATTATTTTTTATTTTTACGAATTTCGAATTTTTTTTTGTTAAATAGGTTCTTTTTAATCAATTTAAAAAGTATTTGATTTCGATGGGGAAAAAAATAAGTTTAAATAGGGTTTTTGTAGAGTGTATGGGATATTTTTTTCAAAATTCTGAGAACGTATTATTTTCATGAGCATCGAAATATAAATCCCCGCGCTCGCTCAGGAAAAATAAATTTGCAATTCGAGACTTGTAGCGAAATGCAAGGTTATTTCATAAAACGAGAAATGTATTCCATGCAAGAATGAATTCTAGTTTTCCACTTAACATAATATGCACATGTCTTCTCGAAATACACACGGGGACATCTACTTTTTAGGGTTGTCAATTTTTTCTTCCTTTGAATTTTTGACAAAGGGCGAATAGTTCCAGTAAAGTTTCATATTACCGAAAAGTTATTCTTTTTATTTTTTTTTTAAGGACTTTATTTCCATTAATTTGAAAAAAAATTATTATATTTTATTGTAATTATTTTAATTTCAATACTATTTTCTTAAGTTATTGTATTTTGAATATTATTTTTTGCTTTATTCTTTTATTATTCGTTTAGTAATTTAGTAATTAAATTATAGCTTTATTAATTTAATTTCTTCTTCACTTTAGTTATTAATTTTATTCTTGTCGTTATTTTATTTCCCTTGTGTAATTTTTTTCTCCCTTGCGCGTTTGACAATTTTTTTGTTTGAATTTTCTTGGATTAATTGAGGTATTAAATTAAGTTTTTTTTTTCTAGACCCTCGACCGCGTTATAATGTAGATTCCGAGGATAGTGTTGGGGGCAACACAAACTGGGTTCTTGGCGATTTGCGCAGCCTTCACCGTTGTGTGCCAGCTCTTCGTCGAACAGGTAAATAGTCTAAATATACATACGTTTGCCCTCATGCCTCATTATTCATCCCATCATTATTCACTGAGAATGGGGATGAAGCACGATTTCAAATCGATATCCTTTTCATAAGGCGCACTCATTAGCATTTCTAATTTCACCAATATATGCGCGCCACTAATTACTGCGAATTCATCCGCCTTTTTTTTAATATTCCCATAATTATGAAAATATTTTGTTTATATTAATAATCATAAATATTTAGGTATATATTAATATTAATTATACAAAATAATATTATTAATATTACTATAAACAAGAATATTAATATAATTTAAATTAAAAATTTAAGAAATATAATAATTACTTATGTGACGATAATGAAGTGAAATCAAAATATTATTATTTAATTGTTTTTAAAATATGCGTTTTATTCGACGCACGAAATTTGTTGTACGCTCCTGAGTGCCGATTGTGCGCGTGCGCTCAGCCTACGACCAATAGCGAGCGAGTATGTCTCTCCACCGAGATCTTCTCCCTCCAACAACGCACCGAACCGAGGACCCCGAATGCACGGTCCGAGATCTTCACTTCTCGAAGCGGTATCACCGCGATAGGGTCTCTGATGTGGTATTACCACGATGAGATCGAAGTGGTTTCACCACAAGCGGTATCACCGCAAGCGGTATCACCGCATAGGAGATAAAGAGGTGTTACCTCACGGGTAGGAACGCGCTCTCCCACGAAATCGTTCGGTGCCGTTTCGAAAGTCGTCGTTGTCCGAAATGTCGTTTATTGTATTGTAACTCGTCGCGTTACTATACTAAAATCCGTGTCTGCTTTATGTTATCGTTTTATCGTTTTGTAACTCGCCACGTTACTCTTTTACGGAAATCCGCGTCTCGCACGTTAATGTTTTTTATTGTAAATTAAACTAATCGTCAACGTCGTCGAAATCACGGTTAACGCACGAATTTATGTCGCTTTATGTACTTCGTTAATATTCGCGATATTACGTTTACGTTCTTTTCTCGTCTCCGCGCGGACGAATTTAGTCAATTTCTGTACTCATTATTTGTATCTCACATTTTATCGCTTTGTTGTTTTGTAAATATATTTTTGAAATTCGATTCTGTAATTAAAATGTTAAAATTCTTAAACGAACCCTGACCGACGAGCAATCCACACCCTTAACATTCATTACAGATTTGGCGCCCGAACAGGGACGGTTAGTTCAAAACGGTTAGTTTGAAACGGTTAGTTTAAAAACGATTAGTTTAAAACGGTAAGTTTAAAACGGAAACGATCGCTTACGAAAACGGTTTAAAGTCGTTTATTCTTTCAGTTTTGTGTTTATTCGGAAAATCACCGCGTCTCGGGAATAATGCCGTTTAGTTTCGTTAAACCGTACGATTACGCGAATAATTCGGAATTGATCGTCGTTATAGTCGATTTCCTTCTTTTTTGATCCGGCGATAAAAGATGATGAATAACGACTCGCTAGTCGATTATTTTTTATCCCCCTCACACGTTTCGTTCGTTTCGTTTCGAATACGTTTGCCGTCGATTGATAGCTTCTTAAATTTCTAATTTTCGCTAATCCCGTCAATCGCTGAAATGTCGATGTCCACGTTAACGTTCGTCGAGAATAGTACGCGTCCGTCCTCCCGAAATATTCGTATGAAGTTTATTTTACGTTCCGTCGTGCATTTTTAGTTCGCGCATTAAAAATGAGTCTTTCCGTTTTGTATATAGTTTCATTTTTCTTTTTTTGATACGAGAAATACGTTAGATTAAACTGTAAGAATTAATAAAGTGCCGCGTTATGTCGTTCAGAATAGACTTTCGCTATCCAACGTCACTTTATTTAGATTCAATCCGCCGATACGAATACCCGACGCTAGAAATTTTCAGTTTTGAATTGCTTTATCGCGCTTACTGGAAAGTTATGTTTCGTAACCTGTCGAAACCCGCATCACGTCTTCCACGTTACTGCACCGAGAACAGACGAACCGTCGCGATTAATTTTCGAGAAGATTTTCGCATATCCAGACCGTCGTTTATTCTATTCGCACGATTATTTTACGAATTATGAATCGTTATTTGTTATAGTGTTCGATCGAATAATAGCAAACCCGTCGGTCCTAGTTCTGTCCGCACCGGATTTACACGCGATTATTCATTCGACTTCAATCACTTATACGATTACGAACGATCACGATTTGTTTTACGAAAAGGACATTTTCCTTTTATTCACGCCGTTTCCCGCTTTTCGTTTACGTATTTACGGAAATATTCAACGTCGCAGAATATTTCAACGCACCGAACGTCACGCATACGCAGTTAGTATCGTCAAACCGAGAGAAAGGTTCGCGATCTAACGTTACCGAAAACGAAACCGAAATACGAAGAAATATCTTGACGTCGAAAAGATATTCTCCCTTACCCTACGTCGATACGGAAATATTTCAACGTCGAAGAAATATTTCAACGAACCGATCTTTTGCATACATTTATCGCCGCGTCGAATTAATGTATCGTAAAAACTTTATGTACGGAGATGCGTTATTGCATTACGTCGCGCAATGCGTATACTCACCGTCAGTTCTGTTTGTACGTCGATCATTCAACTGACTAAAGTGTTCGAGTCGATTAGAAAACGTTAATCGTCAGTAAAAAGTTCCAGCTGTTCGTTTTGTTTTATACCCAATCGCACGATATTCGTTCACTCACGCCGATTACGACCCGAATTACGTTTCCGCGAAAAGATCAGTTAATTGTTACGAAAACGTCGTCACTTAGTTTTAGACTCGCGTTTTGCAATGTAATGAATTAATTTTCTTTTGAAACCTACGTTCACGAATACGAACCCGAAAACCACGTCGTTGTCGCAAACCCCGCGCGATATCCCCAACGTCTGTGAAAATACGTCCGAGAAAACATTAATTTGTTTAATTATCTGAAATCCACGAAATAATTTCGCTCGCACGATTAATACGTCCGTTGTTAAAACCCTATGATAAAACCGTTATCAAATCGTCGTCGCATTATTACGTCGTTATTAAATTATTTAATCATTCATTTTGATTATTACACGTCGTCGTTGTAAAGTCGCCTACGAACCCGTTTGTAAATAATCACGTAAATTGTTCGAATCACGTCGCTGTATTAAATCGTACCGTCGTTGTAAAAAGTGCCGTCGTTAAACCAGAAATCGAAACGTCGCCGCAGATCCGCCAACGTCATCGTGAAAAGAAGATAGTTGTGCCATTACGTCGCAGATTTTGTGAAATCAAGTCACAACTTGATCTTGAGTCAACACGCAACGAAGTCTTGAAGTTCGCCAAGCCGCCAACGAATCGAGCCGAAGTGTCAGTCCGCTAGGTATCCAGTCAACGCCAGTACAGTCGAGTTCCTGTCAAATTCGTTACCTGTCTACAAGTGCAAGTCCGATTCAGTTATCAATTGCCGAGTTGAAGGACGACCTACGAAACGCCACATCGCTAGATTCCACGTCAAGGACATTTTGCCGTTTACGAAGCCGACGAACCACACGACGCTACGAGGAAGTGTTTCCAGTTAAAAACTAGTGCGCGCTTCTGTTCCAAATTCCCTTCGACTGTCAATGATCGCATTTATTCGCGAAAACCCCACGAAAGAGACGCTCAGTGTGCCCCAGTGCTCTTTTCCCTATGCATCGCTACGTCATCACGCACGGTCCAACAATCGACAACGCAGTGCCCTATACCGAGACAGCCAACCACGACGATGAGGATGAGGTCGTTCCAGATCAACGTGATTCTCGAGCCCAACGTCCCAACTGTTCCAGCTGTAGTTCGACGAAAACCACGAATATGTCAACTCGCACAGCAGTCGTTATCAACGCCGCCTCCACGTCGAACATGTGAGTAGTGCTACGATAAAAAAAAAAGTGTTTAAAGAAAGGACATTCTTTTACGAACTCTAAGTGTTTTACGAAAATTTATTTTTATTTTACGCGCATTTTGATTTCCACACTAACGAAAACTCTCGCGAAGTTTTCTCCTTACGAAAAGGGGGTGTGACGATAATGAAGTGAAATCAAAATATTATTATTTAATTGTTTTTAAAATATGCGTTTTATTCGACGCACGAAATTTGTTGTACGCTCCTGAGTGCCGATTGTGCGCGTGCGCTCAGCCTACGACCAATAGCGAGCGAGTATGTCTCTCCACCGAGATCTTCTCCCTCCAACAACGCACCGAACCGAGGACCCCGAATGCACGGTCCGAGATCTTCACTTCTCGAAGCGGTATCACCGCGATAGGGTCTCTGATGTGGTATTACCACGATGAGATCGAAGTGGTTTCACCACAAGCGGTATCACCGCATAGGAGATAAAGAGGTGTTACCTCACGGGTAGGAACGCGCTCTCCCACGAAATCGTTCGGTGCCGTTTCGAAAGTCGTCGTTGTCCGAAATGTCGTTTATTGTATTGTAACTCGTCGCGTTACTATACTAAAATCCGTGTCTGCTTTATGTTATCGTTTTATCGTTTTGTAACTCGCCACGTTACTCTTTTACGGAAATCCGCGTCTCGCACGTTAATGTTTTTTATTGTAAATTAAACTAATCGTCAACGTCGTCGAAATCACGGTTAACGCACGAATTTATGTCGCTTTATGTACTTCGTTAATATTCGCGATATTACGTTTACGTTCTTTTCTCGTCTCCGCGCGGACGAATTTAGTCAATTTCTGTACTCATTATTTGTATCTCACATTTTATCGCTTTGTTGTTTTGTAAATATATTTTTGAAATTCGATTCTGTAATTAAAATGTTAAAATTCTTAAACGAACCCTGACCGACGAGCAATCCACACCCTTAACATTCATTACACTTATTAAATTAAAAAAATATTTATTTTATTAATTTTTGTTTTAAATAAATATATAAAGATATATACTACATGCATCAGGGCTCGAAGTAGGTTCGTAAATTCCGTAAAAGTCAGTAACTTTGCTTGAAGTCCGTAAAAGTCCGTCTTTTTAAAAAATGGTCCACAGAAAAAAGTGAGTGTTATTTTAACACTGAATTCGGTGTTAAAAGTGTCTGCATCAAACTTTAGCTCGGAAGTGTTATTTTAACACTGAAAATAAGGTAAATTTTCTATTATAGAAAATTTATCCTCACTAAAATTACCCTACCAAAATTTACCCGCATCAAAAACAACACTCGCTTTTCTCTGTGTCCCTAAAGTCCTTAATTTCATTCAAACTAGAATGAAAAGTTCCTAAATTGTACTATGTAATTTTGGAAATTTTGAAAAAGTTAGAAATGATTGCAGAAATTCAATTATTTTCAAAAGTAATAAATTCTTCTCAGAAATTCAATTATGTTCACAAAATTTTTAAAAATTTCTCGTCAAAATTTCAATTATCTTTAGAAATAGTTCAATTCTTCATTTATTTATTTATTTATTTAATTAGATCTTCTCCAAAATTCAATTATTTTAAAAAATTTTAATAAATTTATTGGCAAAATTTCAATTATCTTCAAAAATTTTCCTCAATCCAATGATTTTTTATTAAATAGCTACTATTCTAATAAAATTTTCCAAAAAAATTCAATTATTTAAAAAAAATGTAATAAAATTCTACACAAAATACTAAAAATGTCACAAGAATTTCATTATTTGCAAATTTTTTTATAAATTTATTGGCAATCATTAAATTATTTTTATATGTAATAAGATTTTTACGGGGATTCAATTATTTTCGTAAATAATAAAATTCTCTTTAGGAATTCAATTATTTTCATAAATAATAAAAATCATTGCAGAATTTCAAATATTTTTAATACAATTTTAATCGAATTCATCGAAAAAATTCTTAAAAATTTTATTAAAATTCGTCAAAAGAATTCAGTTATTTGAAAATTTATAGATAAAATTATTTGTGAGAATTCAATTTTAAGAAACATGCAATTATTCAATAAATTGTTATTTTTGTATTTAAATAATTGAATTCAAGTAAAATTTTCTCAAAAACATTGATTTAAAAATGGATTTCAGTTAAAAATTTTGATTATAATTGAATATTAAAAGCATTAAAGTGTAAATTTTTAGAAATAATTGAATTTTGAAAAGGTTTCAGATTAAAATCTTTCAAAATTTGAATTTTTCATATTTTTCACTAACAATTCTGTCGAATTATTTTTTTAAGAAAATTTAATTGCGGATTTTTTTTAAATTGTTTAAAGTTTTTATTTTGTAATATATGTATATTTAATTGAAGAATTTACGAATAATTGAAATTTTGTAAAATTGAATTGTGAACAAGTTAATTTGAAAATTCTTAAAGAACTTTTTCAAAAATTATTAAAAATAATGGATTTATAGAAGATGTTTAGTTAAAAACACGAAAAAAAATTCAATTTTGTAAAAGTTACAAATTATTGCAGAAATTCAATTATTTTTAACGCAATTTTAATCAAATTCCTCGAAAAATGTAATTCTTAAAAATTTTATTAAAATTCGCCAAAAGAATTCAATTATTTAAAAATTTGTTAATAAAATTCTTTATGAGAATTAAATTTTAAGAAACATTCAATTATTCAATAAATTATTTATTTTTGTATTTAAATAATTGAATTCTAGTAGAATTTTCTAATAAAAATTGATTTTCATTTATAAAAATCAATTTCAGTTAACATTTTAGATAATAATTGAATATTAAACGCAATATAGCGTGAATTTTAAAAAATAATTGAATTTTGTAATTCATTTTTTTGAAAATGTTTAATTGAGTTTTTTTTAATATTATTTTAAGTTTTTATTTTCTAATATTTATTTAATTGAAGAATTTACGAATAATTGAAATTTCGTAAAATTGAATATTGTAAAAAAATTAATTTTGAAAATTGTCAAAGAACTTTTTCGAAAATTATTAAAAATAATTGATTTAGAAGAATTTTAGTTACAAATTCTTGGAAATAATAATTGAATTGTAAATGATTTTATCACTCGGTCATCTTTAATTATTATAAAACAGGAAGAAATCGATATCTTCATGTTTTATAGTTATGAAAAAATTTAATTTATACTTTTAAGTTGTTCTCTGATTTGACTCGGACTGGTTATATTTTTGTCAGTAATTATTGGTCCGTAATTTTTCATTTTTGGTCCGTAAAGTCTGTATTTTTAAATACTTTCACTGCGATTCGAGCCCTGATGCATGATGAATAAATGAATTTTATTTCTCGCGTTAGATCTGAAAATCGTTCGTCACAATTTTTTATTTTTGTATTGTTATTTTTTAATTAATTGTAGAAATAATAATAAATGAAAAATAGCAGTGTAATAATTTTTTTATATATAATAATAATAATATTATAAATAAGAATATAAATAAAAATATTAATATAATTGAGCGCTCGTTCGACGCTCGAAAAATTTTCAAGCGTCGAACGAGTTGTTGCATTGGAGCGCTCAATTACTAAAAGAAATATTTATTTTATTAATAATCTTTTATTATTTTTCAATTAATTGTAGAAAAAGATAATAAATAAAAACACCACTGTCATGATGTGTATTTTTAAATTGTGAGATAATTTTATAATTAGTAGAAGAAAAAGCAAAAATTGTTTATTCTTTTTTGACTTTTTGTTCTCAAAATGTAAAATTGATTTTTATAAGTAAAATAAAGAATAGATAGAAAAATTAAACTATTTTTTCCATTGCTGGAAATTACAAAAAACTACAAATTTTTCGATTTGGAAAATAAATGTTAATAAATATAAAAAAATAAATAACGAAAATTGAGAAAAATTTCAAAAGAATTTAAAAAATAGTAATGTAAAGCGTGAATGGGGAGGTAATTGTAAATTTAATTTTCTACTGATTAAGTGTCATTACGTGTATAAAGGCACAATTTTCTTGAGCGGTTTTTTTTTATTTTTTTTTTTTTTGAAAAAAGATGCTTGAGTCTAGCGAAACATTTCTTATTATAGGTATAGACGTGGCTGGTATTCAAACACATTTCTATCCCGAGGGTGGCTGGGGATGGTTGGTGTGTGCCGCGGGCTTTCTGGCCCTGTTGCTTACCACTGGAATGCAACTTGCCTTCGGTGTTCTCCATCTTTATGCTGCCCGACACCTCGGCGAACTTCATCTAATGGATATAGGTAAGTTGCCAATAAAACTTACAAGCTTCAATAAAGGTTCAATTTTTTCTTTATTTTTTTTTTATTTTTTTTTATTCCAACCCCCATACTTACATATACAATTCCCTTAATATGAAAAGCATTTTTTTTTCTCTCCAAGTGTGTAGAGAAATATTTCTCCATCAATATTTATAAATTTTTTATTTATTAAAAAATTTGTACTTAATACAATTTTATTTTACAAAATTTATTCAAATTTTTGTCAAGTTAACTTCTTGGGAATTTTTTTCTACTTTATGACAAACATATATATATATATATATATTTTTCGAGGTCTTACGCTTAATTTTAGAATACGTTTTTTTAAGTCCTAGGTAATTTTAAAAGTATACTGATAAGTGTGGTAATGTGGGTTAATTGACATTTACTCTTAGCCACTAATTTCCATTATTCTGACATCAGAGAATCGAATTCAACGTTTTATAATTAGACGATTTTGTAACGAAGAAAGTATTAATTCATTAAATTCAAGACCGCGATTATTTTCGAAATCTAGGTTATTCGACTGGAGTCTATTTTTAAAAAAAGTTGAATATTATCTTTTAGTTCTTAAATGAAACAACAATTTTTATACTATTAGAATAAGAAAATTTATATTTGAAAATATACATTTGAAATGAGAAATTAAAAAAAAAAAAAAATTTTACAACTTATTTATAGATGCAAATAAGTAAATATTAAATTTTAATTTTTAAATTCAAGTAGGTAGGTAAAAAATAAGGGATAAAAGTAAACAATATTTTTCGTTATTTTCTTAAATTGATTTGAGTATTATTTCAAGTTTCTGGAACGAAGGAAAAAGAAGAAAGAAAGAAAGAAATAAAGAAAGGGAAAAAGTGAAATGTCGATAGCGTAAAATAGGTTCGAGTTTCGACACAAGGAGAGGATATTTGTTATTGTTCTTGGATGTTCCTTCCATTTCCTTCAAGTACCCTATACATGAGCTTTAAAGCTAATCTTACACAATGTTGGAAAAATCTCCGCGAAAATGGTAGATAAGAAAATAGAAATAGTGTTGAATGTATATATTTTAGACGAAAAGAAAAGGGGAATGAGAAATTAAATTTTTTCCTTCGTTCATAAAGGTTCAAATTAGTGGATTTTTTTTTTATTCTCAACCCCCATGACATTATATTTAATTAATTTATAATGATTTCTTGATGAAATCCAGTTTGCTTAATTTCTCAAGTATTTAATTAATTAAGTTCCAACCTCTTGGCGCAATACATCAATTAATGAATGAATGAAATCCTTCAGCAAAGATTGACTTTGAAAACGAAAGGTTCAAAATGTCGTTTAATGGAATAAACGCTCTCGTAAAATTAGGTACGTTGCAGTGATAAATTGTAATGGGATTCTCCATTACAATGGCTAAAAAAATTATAGTTTTTTTTTTAAATTTTAGATTTTTATTTCTAATTATTTTATTATTTGTATTATTTTAAATTTTTAATTATTACAGGGCTCGAACTAGATCCGTAAATTCCATAAAGGTTCGTAAAATTGCTTCAAGTCCGTAAAAGTCCGTTTTTTTTAAAAAAGGTCCTTAAAGTCCGTAATTTGAAAGAAAAGGACAAAAAGTTCGTAAATTGTACAATATAATTTGTAGAATTTTAAAGAAACTACAATTGATTGTAGAAATTCAATTGTTTTCAAAAATAATAAAATTCTTCGCAGAAATTTAATTATGTTCAAAAATTAAAAAAAAATTTAGTCAAAATTTCAATTATTTTTAGAAATAATAAAATTCCTTCAAAATTTAATTATTTTCACAAATTTTAATAAAATTCTTGGCAAAATTTCAATTATTTTCAAAATTTCAATTATTTTAAAAAATTTTCATAAATTCAATGATTTTAAAATTTTAATATTTGTTATTTTAATCAAACTTTCCAGAAGAATTCAATTATTTAAAAAAAATTTAATAAAATTCAACGCAAACATTTAATTATTTCCATAAAATAATAAAAATTTCACAGGAATTCAATTATTTACAAATTTTTTTTATAAATTTCTTCTAAATAATAATTCAATTATTTCCATAAATATTTATAAATTTTTACAGGGATTCAATTATTTTTGTAAATAAAATTCTTTTTAGAAATTCAATTATTTTTCTAAATATAATAAAACTCAATGCTGAATTTTATACAATTTTAATGTAATTCCTCGAAAAGTGTAATTATTCTTAAAACTTTTATTAAAATTCGTCGAAAGAATTCAATTATTTAAAGATTTAATGATAAAATTTTTCTATGGGAATTCAATTATTCAAAAAAAAATTTCTTTTATTAAAATAATTGAATTAAAAATAAATTTCAGTTCAAATTTCAGATAAATATTGAATATTAAAAGCATTATAGTGTGAATTTTAAAAAAAAATTAAATTTTGAAAAGGTTTTGATATTAAAATCTTGGAAAATTTTAATTAACAATTCTGTAGAAGAATTAATTTTTTTGAAAAAGTTTGTTTCAATTTTACTTGAAATTATTCTTTTGAAATTTTTATTTTCTAATATATTTCAATTGAAGAATTTCCGAATAATTGAAAGTAAAATTGAATTGTGAACAAATGAATTTGAAAATTCTCAAAGAATTTTTTTAAATATTATTAAAAATAATGGTTTTATAGAAGAATTTTAGTTAAAAAAACTTTTAAAAAAATTTAATTTTGGAGATATAACACATTATTCGAGAAATTCAATTATATTTTTGTATTTAAATAAATGAATTATTCTAGTAGAATTTTCAAATAAAAATTGATTTAAAAATGAATTAATTATAATTTTAGATAATAATTAACTATAATAATCCTATAATTCATTCTTTCATTCTGTCCACACCTGAAGTTAGTTTTTGTGTATTCTTTTGTTGTTTTTTTCTTTAAAAAAAATTTGTTTTTACAAATCAAAAATGTACAGGTATTTTTTCATAATTCATAATAAAGTAATATTAGAAATTAGAAAATTTTAAAAAAAGTGATGATTAACAAATGAAAAATTTACCTATTTTGTTTATTATATGCTTTTTTTATAACAAATTTCGTTTGACTGATCCAATTTTTCTCTTTTTTATTTATAAAAAAATAAAAAATAGAAAATTGGTTAAAAAATTAAGATTAAGAAATAGTAAATAAATACCCATTTTATGCATAATTTTTATTCCTCAATAACAATATTGTTCACAAACTCATTCTTTCATATTGAGGAAAATACATTACATATTCCCGTTTCTTAATATTTTTATAGAAAATTTTCAATTTTCATACGAGAATAATTTACATTATTTCAATTTTTTAATTACAATTGTTTTAATAAAATTCAAAGTTTTTTTTAAAAATGAACGAAACAAATGTTTATAAATTCTATTTGTCAATTACAAATTTTCATTGAAAATGAAAATTTTTAAATTTTTAGAAAATAAAGCAAAAAAATTTTACTCAAAACAAAATGGTCCTTTACATTTTTACGAATTTCTTTAATTGTAAAATTATTCAAAAACATCAATATTTTTCCACAGGAATTTAGATATTCAAAAATTCCAAATTCAAACCTTTTGGAAATTAAACAACTTATAAAAATATTTTGCTATAAAACATGAAGATATTGATTGCTCCGAGTCGAAGACTCGGAGTGATCGATTTCTTCATGTTTTATAATAATTTATAATAATTAAAAATTTATGAAAATAATTGAATTATTGCAAAGAAGTTTATAAAAATTGAAAATAATTGAATTCCTGTGGAATTTTTATTATTTTTGACAATAATTAAATGTTTGTGTTCGATTTTATTAAATTTTCTTTTTATGTAATTGAATTTTTCTCGGCAAATTTTATTAAAATAGTAGATATTGAAAATAATTGAAATTTGGACAAGAATTTTATTGTCATTTTTGAAAATAATTGAACTTTGGCGAAACATTTTGTTATTTGCAAAGATAATTGGGATTTTGACGAGAACTTTTTTGTAATTTTAAACATTATTGAATTTAATAAGAAGAATTTTATTACTTTTGAAAATAATTGAATTTCTGCAATAAATTATTTGTAATTTCTCCAAAATTGAATTATTTTAGTGTTTTCAACAAAAATTTGAATTTGAAATTTTTTTTTATTTTTAAAATTGCTAATTTTATTTAAAAAATGAAGGAAGATGTTAGCTGCGAGCATTAGCGCGCGAATTGTTGCTAGTTAAAAATTAAAAGCAATATAACGTGAATTTTTAGAAATAATTAAATTTTGAATTTAATTTTTCTGAAAAAGCTTAATTGAATTTTTTTTTATATTATTCGAAGTTTTTATTTTCTAATATTATATTTAAATGGGGAAGTTACGAATAATTGAAATTTCTTAAAATTGAATATTGTAAAGAAATTAATTTGAAAATTGTCAAAGAACTTTGTCAAAAATTATTTAAAATAATTGATTTAGAAGAATTTTAGTTACATATTCTTGTAAATAATAATTGAATTGAAATAATGAATTTTGAATAATGTATTTTGAAATAAAAATATTAACAATAAAATAAATAATATAAAAATAAAACAAATTTAAGTCTAGGCGGAGAATATTGGATGGAAAATTAAAAAACTTTTTTTAGAAAAAAATTAATGTGAAAAATATCCAACAGATTATAAAAAAAATTTAAAAAAGAGAAAGTAAATTTATCAAGGAATGCATTAAAATTTTTTTCGATAGGTTATTTCCATATATAAGATATCGTAGTTTTCTCGAGGAGTAAAAAAAAAAGTTTGAGAATTTTTTTCTTCTTTCTTTTTTTTTTGAAGAATTTTTTTTTCGTTGCGCAATGCATTGTGCGGTGCGGCACACGTATTTGCCTGATATTCGTGTGTATTCCTTTAAACCATAGTCGTCTCGAGTTGAACGAAAAGAAAAAAAAACGTAGAGAAAACTTGGGGGAAAAACTTTGTACTCAACTGCAGGCAAACGTGAAAAAAGGA